GGTGGAGTGGCAAGTAGTAGGAGTCTTTCAAAGTAGTGAAGGGCACTTCCTCCTACCAGCCCGTGTCCTCCAGCAGTAAGTGAGGCGGTCAGCTTCGTGCTCTGGCCTGGAGCCACTCCCTAGAGGACTCCTAGGTACCTCCGAGCTCTCGGTGTGTTCCATTAACTGTGCTAGGCCTGAGCCTGGTGTGAATTGTGAATCTCTGGAAACCTTATTGATGTAGACACACAGAGTTTGGGAGAGCCTCTCACAGAGCTGAGGTCCAGTCCACAACGGAAGACCACGTTGACACCGCTTCAGGCTCCTGGCTCCTGTCACAGGTCCCAGGGTCCTGCGTGGGCTTCAGATGCACTCAGGCCACTCTGGAAATGCATTAGAGTCAGCACTGGGAAGTAGAAGTTCTCCTGTGATCTACACATTGTCAAAACAGTATTTTTTGGTTGTTACTGTGTTAAAAATAGATATTCCTATACTTAAGTAAATGAGGAGAAAAACTGAAAAAATGTGTAAAAAATTAAAAATTAAACAAGATCAGTGTCCACTGCAGACTCTGCACAAAAACTTGTGGCCCTTCAGTTCGCACCAGAAAGAAATGGCACTGTGGGGCTGTGTGCAGCGACAGGGCTGAGAGGCAGATAAGGTAGGGCTGGGGAGAGGCGTCTGCACTGACTGTGCATCAGCTCATGCCACACTCCCGGTGTTCTAGAAGCATGTTCCACTAGCCTGCAATTTTTGGTGTTGAAAATGGAGTTTCTATAAAGGTAAAGGTAAAGGCCCTCCCATTGATCGTCGATTTGCTCAAGCAGGCCCAGTAACATCTCCATTGGTGACTTTGTTGTTACTGTGTCTGCCATATCGAATATTCTCGGTAGCTTGCCGGGCTCTCCAAGAGGGGCGGAGGAATCGAACTCGGGTCGGCCATGTTGGCCACGTGTAAGGCGAACGCCCTACCCACTGTGCTATCGCTCCAGCCCTGGAGTTTCTATAGTCAACTTAAAAAGGAAGCTATACATATGCAGCCGGAGCCTGTGTGCTGTTTGTGCCCATGTGGCTATGCATATGGGGTGTGGAAACACATGTGTCGCCCGCATCTCCATCTTGAGATGTATGTAGGGGCTCTCTCTGCATTTGGAGAAGGCCGAGTTCTCTCTTGAGCTCGTTTTTCTCTCTCTCTCTCTGTCTCTCTCTCTGTCTCTCTCTCTCTGTCTCTCTCTCTGTCTCTCCCTCCCCTCCCTCCTCCCTCCTTCCCCTTTCTCCAAAAGTCTCCAAATGGAATCTGTTTGTTTTTTTTTTTTAAATTTTTATTAGTGAGACACCATAAGGTACAGTTGTAGACTTACAAATTTTTGTGCTTGGGTTTCAATTATACAATGATCAAATCTGTTTTTACTTAAAAAAAAAAAAGAAAGAAAAGAAAACAAAAGAAAATGGAGTGGAGTTCCTGTTGGACTCCACAGAGTCATCAGGAAATCCAGGCACTCCTGCCACTGCTGCTGGGGAAGGGCTTTCCCGACCTGCCTCCGGGTGTTGCTGCTCATCCGGGCATTCTTGGCATGTTACTTCTCTGTAGTGTGTTTCAAGCTGGAGACAGCAACAGGTGGTGTTTCAGTTGGATTCTGATGCCAGTGAATGAAGGTGGGTATCGTGCCCACTTCTTCCACCTTCTCTTTCCTTACTGACCCTGTTGGATGGGCATGGCACATGGGTCCTTGGTGGTTTTGGGGGTGTACCCTGTACACCCCACGAGCAGTCAGGAGGGAACAAGCTCTGCTCTGTTCTCTGAGCTAGCCCTGAGGAAACAGATGAATACAGCTATCAAACAGAGCAAAGCAGCAGAGCTGGTCAGAGGAAGAATTTCAAAGAAAATAATCCTGGAATTAGATCACAGGTTGGGGTGCCTTGAAGTGCGTTTTTATGCCCTCCCTCTGAGAGGCAGGCACCTGTAACGGAAACTCACTCCCCCTGTTGCCTGGGGCTGCATGGGTCTTAAGGAGCCACTCTGGGCCTCACTGCTAACATTCAGCATGACTTTTTGTTTTGTTTTCTCTCATCAAGCTTCTTCATTCACCATCTGCAAGCTCCTGCCCTGGTGTTTGTTCCACCTTGTCGTCAGATTGGGGCCCTTTCTAATGCAGGCCCAAGTCAGTCCCCACATCCCCACCTGAGCCCACACTGCACTCACCTCCTCACACTCCACTCCTCCACCACCCCACCCAGGAGACCCAGCTTTAGAACTCCCAACTGCCCCTTCTTCCTGCTTCCGGAAGCCTGTGCTTAGTCCAGGCCTACTCGGCACAGCCCCTCAGGAAGGCCATGGAGGGGTCTGTTTGCACCGCCTCTGGGTCAGTGCTTCTCAAAGGTGACTGCACACAGATCTACACCATGGAAGCCCAGGTCCTCCCCACAAAGCTGATCCCAAGTTTTGGTTGTGCTCTAGCCCTAAGCCATGCTGTCAGGGACATGAGAAAGACATTAGGAGTTGCCAAGGTTCTCCCAGTAATCCAAGTAAATAGAGAACTTGAGAGACTCTGCTGAGAGCAGCCACTCCGCCGGCCCTTCCCCATTGCAGACTCTGCTCCTAGTCCTTCAACTCTGGTGTCTGAGCTGGCTTGGGACTCCTGCATCGTGTTTCCCTACACCTCTCAGAACGTCTGTGAGCTGTAGCTGCACTCCGGGCAGATGTGCTGTGCTTGTGGGAGGACCCCTCCCTCCAGGAGACAGTCATGGTGGCAGAGCTCTCTGTGCTGGGTGGGCACCTGGCCTGGCCTCGTGGAAGGTCCAAGAATCTCCCAGCCTGGCTTAGGACTGTGGGTAGGTTTTCGTAAACTGAGGGATCCACCTCAGGCACCTCTGACCCCCCTGGCCTCCCCAGGGAGCGGCAGGCTTCCTTCCATGGGTCCTGTTGGTACCTGCACGCTGCTGGCTCTGCTGGGCCTACACAGTGCCCTGGCTTCAGGCCTGCTGGTCGCCCCATGCTGCTGAGAGCTGGGCTGTGGCGCAGTGTAACTGCAGCCTCCACTGCCGAGTGCTGCAGGCCTCTCAGAGCTGGTGGGCCTTCAGGTCTTCCAAGGCACGGGTGCACTTCTTGCTCTTGTTATTTTTTAATTTCCTTCTTCTTGTGGCAAAGGCAGCCCACGGGACACAGGAAGGGTCTCTGAGTCCTACTTGGTTATCCTCAGTATTCCCGAGGCACCTTGAAGGCGCCCTTTCCATCCTCACGCAACCCCTGGAGCCCCAAGCCTGGCGCTGCAGCCCCTCCACGGACATGACTGTCACTGTGACTTGCCTTACAAGTCACAAAGGAAAGCGAAGATGGAATTCTTGAGGGAATCCAGTGCCCCTCACAGTGGAGAAAACTTTCTGCTTTGGAATGCGACAGGGAATATGCTCAGGCTGCCCCTGCTCTGCACAGCCCAGCCTGGGCCCGGCACCTCCCTCATGGGTGTGAGGGAGGCTGAGTGGTGCCGCTAGCATGGGGCCCAGAAGACCAGCAGGCTGCAGGCTCTGGCTCCCTCTGTGGTCCGGGGCCTGTGCTCTCCACGTAGAACTGGGCTCGGCTCATGCCTGTAGGGTCAGGTTCCAGGTGACTGCTGGCCACAAGCAGGTCCAGCCCAGAACAGGACACCCCTCTTCCTTCTGCAGTGAGCCGTGGGGGGAACCTGCATGAGCTCCCACAATGTGTGACTCCCCTGATGAGTCTTTGCAGGGCCTCAAGCTGTGTTTTCCAGGGGATGGGGGGGAAGGTGGCTGCGAGGCTGGGGGCTGTAGAGTGGCTTCTGTTACCACTCTCCTTTCCTCCAGCCTACATAGCTGGGCCTGTCACTCTCCCATCTTGTTTCTTCTGACCTTTATTTATTTTTTAGTTTTGTTCCTTTTTTTCTCTAAACATATTAAAGCCCTGTGACATATAAAGTTCCTCCTGTCCTTTTGGTCACACAGGACTATCCCCTCTGCGCTGTCCCTCAGTAGCTGCCAGCCCTTCAGCTCTGCGCCAGTCTCAGGTAGCCTGTGCAGGAGGTGGGAGCCATGGCCCTCAGCTCTTCTATCTGGTTGTGTTTAGGGGCTCTGGGTGATGCTAAGGGCTTACTCTCAGCTTTATGCTCAGGAATCACTCCCAGTAGGTTCACTGGAACATGAGGTGCCAAGGATCAAACCCAGGCCAGCTGTGTTCAGGGCAGGCGCCCACCACTGTGCCATCTCTCCATCCTGTGGACACTCACTTCTAGACGCGAGCTGACCAAAAGCCCTGCCAGGTCTACCCCTACGTGTCCTCCTGCCTGGGATCCCAGACACTGTTCCCACACCATCCACTGCAGGCTCTCCTTCCTTGGGACCTGCCTGCATCCCACAGGCAGTGGAAGGAATGTTTCTGTGGCAGCTGGAGGCTGGTTTTCACAAACCTCAGAATCGTCCCAGTTGGTACCATCTGTGTCTGTGAGCTCTCCTGGGAGGTGCCTGGAGCCCCCGGGCAAATGAAGGGGGCCCCATGTGTGGACTCTTTTCAAGTCCCTGGCCATGGTATCACCAGCATCCCCGGGGAGCGGGCTGCTGGGCTATTGCTGAGAACACCCAGCTCCTGCCCACGGGCCAGACTTTCCTGCCCACTCGCAAGTGGGTAGAGGGTGTGTCTGTCAGAATGTGAGAGTTGCCAGGGTCTTCACCCAGGAGCAAAGACTTACTTGGGCTCTACTCCTTTCCTGCCACGCTGCACGGTACAACCCTGAGCTGGGAAACCCAAGAGGAGACTGAGGTTCAGCAGGCAGTCTGGTGGTCAGCTCTTGAAAAACACAGCTGCCTCAGAAAACTTTTCCAGGAAGTCCAGAGGTGTCATGTAATCATTTGTTGTGTTTCCTCATGCCTGGTGAGGCTGGAGGCCTTGACAGAGCAGATCGAGTTGAACACATCATCCATCTTAAGCATAATAGGGACTGGCAGAGTGCAGAGAGCAGGACATGGTTGGAACCCTTAATGAAGACCCCTCTTTTTCCCTTTCTCACCAGCTCAATGACTCTGCCAAGCAGCTTATTGAGATGGACAAGCCGTGCCCAGCCTCCGCGCCTGGCTGCCACGCCTCCCTGCTCTCCGACCCTGCTTCTATGGCTGGGGTGAACCCAGGCCCCACTGTGGGCAGCACAGGGGCGGTCAGTGCCTTTCAGCGACGAGTGGATGGCAAGAAGAATGCCAAGAAACGCCACTCCTTCACTGCACTCAGCGCAACCCACAGATCTGCCCAGGCCACCAGCCACAGGCATTCCATGGAGATCAGTGCTCCAGTTCTGATCAGCTCCAGTGACCCACGGGCTGCGGCCAGAATTGGGGACCTGGTTCATCTTTCATGTAGTGCTCCCACCCAGGTAAAATCCTTGGGGTATGTGCAGGGAAGCTGGGTTCTCTCTCTCTCTCTCTCTCTCTCTCTCTCTCTCTCTCTCTCTCTCTCTGTGGTTTCCAGGCTCCCTTGTGAGCTAGGCCCTCAGCATTCCTTTTGAGCCAGCCTGCTGCTTTGGGCTTTACTTGTGGTTTCAGCTTCATTGCCTGACCTCGAGAACCCGAACCCACCCCACCTATAGGCTGTGAAAGGAAATCTGGCCTCCCTTGTCACAACCAGAGAACATATGTGACCACAGCTCTCAACACTAAGATGAGCTAGGTAGCAAGTGAGATGCTTTTCAAGTTACTTGAAGCAAGCCTTTGAATGGCACTGAGCAGAGCAGAGACACAGAGGGCAGTACCAGCTTCAGTCAGTTGGTCTAGTTGTGGTTTGAACGTCTTCCTGACTCTTGTTAACCTCCTTCCCTTTCAATACAGAGAAGGGGCCAGGAATTAGCTGTGTCATTTAAAGATCTTACTATTTCTTTTCAAATGACAGAGGAGATGAGGAGATGGAACAGGAGACTAAGACGGGAGGAGAGATGGATACAGAGGGGTGGAAGTTGGGGCAAGAAAGAGGCAAAGACGGGAAGGGAGGAGGGAATGAGACTTCAGTCCACACATGCCAGGTCAGTGTTCCCTGGGCAGCAAGTCGCCGCAACTACACCTTCACGCCAGGCTCGCGCTCCCTCTGTGTTTGGGATGTGCAGGCCTGGCCTTTCCTAGGTACCCGCCTCCTCTGTCCAGGACAAGGGGTTGAGTGGGCGGGGTGCAGAACCTGGAGCCCGGCCATCTCAGCTATTTTGCATGGCAAGCACTAAGAATAGTTTTTACATTTTAACCTTTTTTTTTTTTTTTGAAAGAGGAGTCTAGTAGAAGATCAGCTAGGATAGGAGAAATGCAGTACAGGGAGAAATAAAGGAAGAAAAAGAAATACTCAGAGCCCAAACTATTGAGCTGAACTTTGGAATTTTACAAAAATGCTGGAGGCTCAGGCTGTATTGTTGTTGAGCCTGAAAAGGAAGAAACAATAGGACCAGGATAAAGACCTAGTGCAGGGGTTAAGGCGCTGGCCCTGCAGACACCAACCCTCTTGCTTCTATTCCTGGCTCTGTAGGTTGTCCTTTGAGCACAGAGCCAGGATTAACCACTGAGCACCCCATCATACTTCCCTCCCTCCCAAAACAAAAGTTATGATTTTTTTTAAGTAGTTTTCGTTTAAGGGGCACGATGAAGAAGAATACTTTCATCTGAGGCGGAGGTGGACAGGCACTGCCTTTACTTCCTCCCCGCGCATCGGAGGAAAGTGGGATGAAATGTGGAATTTGTGGTCCCTGCTCTGGCTAGTGTGTCCAGGGGACTGAGCTGGGTCTCACCCAGGTCCCTGTGACCAGGAAGCATCACTGGGAACTCCCCCAGGCTCTGATTCAGGATCTCTCATTCTCAGTCACAACCAGAGACAGCCATTCTCCCCTGCCTCCTGTCTGGCTGCCCGTCTTTACTCCATGTCCCCTCAGATGCCCAGAGTTCACAGAGGCCCATCTCTGGCGTCCTGCCAGCCCCTGCTCTCCTCAACATACTTTCCTCCCTATTATCTGCCATCGCTGGTGACTGCCCTGTGGCTGAGCCCACGTGACTGTCACACCTGGCCAGAGCTCCAGGCCAGAGATGTGGACTGTCTGCCCTTGCCTGTGACCATGCTGCCCATGGCCTCCACTGGTGACAGCAAAAGCTCTCCTCTCCTCTCGTCACTCAGAACACAGACCAGCCTGGCCCACATCCTCCCGGCAGGGCTATTACTCTGCCTCTGCTGTTGGGTCCCCGCTTGTGTCACTGTACCCGAGGTTCACTGCCTACAGGGACATGCCAGCCCCTCTGCTGCAGGACTCTTCAGGCTTCAGCCTGCTGTCCCTGCCCACTCCCCCAAGCTCACTGTCTACTCCCACAGGCACAGACCACCCCATCTTACCGACTCAGCCCTCAGCTGGAGATTCTCTTGTCAGGCTGTGGTGAGAAGATTGACTGGGGAGGGGTGGGGAGAGGCCAACTCCACTTTCCAATGTGTGAGTTCACAATATAAATGTGTGGGTGCTTCCTGATGACACGTGCTGCATTCAGTGGCCCATAGTTCCGTCCTCCCCAGGCTCCCCCAAGCAGAGAGACAGAGAGACAGGGGACCACAGTTCGATGGTGAAATTGGCCCGTTTAATGCAGAGCAGCCAGCATCCTTATAGAACCTCTGAAGAGGGTTGAGGTAAGGACAGAGATGTGATTGTTCATTTACATAGGTAAGACATCTCGAAATTTATATAGATCTTTTACATAGATTATGTAGATATTGCTCCAACGGGCCCAGTAACGTCTCCATTGGAGACTTTGTTGTTACTGTGTTTGGCATATCAAATACTCTCGGTAGCTTGCCGGGCTCTCAGAGAGGGGCGGAGGAATCGAACTCGGGTCGGCCATGTTGGCCGCTTGTAAGGCGAACGCCCTACCGCTGTGCTATCGCTGCAGGCCATTATGTAGATATAGAAAATTCTCTTTTGGGGAGATTATAGCAAGGAGACACTGTCTCCCAGGGACATATATATTGCTTTTATCTTTCCCTCTAGTTGTATAAGTTATTAATACTTACGGTTGTTTGGATAAACACAGTAAGAGACAAAGATCCCAATACTTGGGTCTCTGGGCTTTGAGAGCAAACAAGGCTTTTAGCACTTAGTTGTCTGGGCTCTGAGAGCAACCAAGGCTTTTACCATAAATCCCAGACTGAGTCCTCAGGCCGGTACAGCTAGTTCTTCCCCATGGAGGTCCTGTTTATTAAGTTATAACTGCTTGCATCAAGACCATGCGTTTATGCTTTCTAGACTGTCCCATTTTGATGCCAGGGTAGCTTTGCCACTCACCTGGGGCCCATCCCAGTCCCATGGCAGGATCTCCCTTTTGGGGTGTTAGGAACTACAGCAACTGAAGCCTGAGTCAAGTAATTATAACCAAGTAATTATGCCCAGGAATATATAAATTTCAGAGTCAGTCAACTCCCAAATAGTAGGAGCACAAGATCAATGGTCTTTCTGTGTTTAACCAAAGAACATTGCTTTATAGTAAAATATAAAAAGGCTACAGGAAAAATAGAAAAGCAGGGACAAATACACAGCACTTCAAATACAAAGCACAGAATCACCAAAAAGTTCTGGCTTATAAATAATCAAGACTCACTTGGGGGAGTATGACAATGAGAGGTAAACTACAAAGGAAAGGTTAAAGATTAACTACATCAGGGATGCTAGCAAGAGCACAGTAAGCTACTCTTTGGGGAGGAAAAGGGGCAATTCACTGATGAAGCCTAAAGCATTTCGGGTTAATATCCAACACAAAAGGCCCAGGACTCACTCATAGATTGAACTGGCTCTGAGTGAGAGAAAATGGCTTACATTTTAAACTGTTTCCTCATAAGCCAAGGACCAGGGAGATGGACCACAGGCTGAGGGTCGTGAGAGCTCTGGGTGGAGTTCCCAGCATAACCTGGAACCCCATCAAGGCCAGGGCTGACTCCTACCACTGCTGGGAGAGGTTCCCAAATGAGGCGTGTGACTAGTGGAAGCTGCAGTCTGCCCACAGGACTTGTAGTACAGCTGTTCCTAAGGCTTTGGCTGAATCTCCTGCACTGCATATGACGCCTTGAGCACCGCAAGGAGTGTTTCCTGAGCGCAGCCAGAAGTTCCCATCGGCACCCCTTTAATTTAAAAAAGAAAAAAAAAAGAAACAGAAAAAAGTGCCTACGAATAATGGGTAAATAAAGGGAATCCCACCCTGAGGTCCTTGTGCAGATCTGGAAATCTGTGTGACGGGGCAGATTTCCCTACAGTTTCCACTGACTCCTGACCTTCTCTTCTCTCCCCTCCCACTCCTCCTGACTGTTGTTGCTGTGGTTGTGATGAGGGGGCTGCAGGATATGATGCTCATGCCATGCTGCTTCCCCAAGGATTGCTCTCCTTTAATGGCACATGTCCTTATTGGGGATCATGCTTCTTGGCCCTCATGTTTGCACTGTGTTGTGGTTGCGGCACTTGCCGGAGCCTGCACACAACAGCTGTGATTTCTGAACCTCTGGCTGTGGTACGGCTGAGCTGCACATCATGTGGGACACCAGTGATCACAAAGAGCAAAGCTCCCAGGATTGTGCTGGCTAGATAACACTTGGCATTGGAACTGGACTACACCTGCAAGATGCATCCTCCAGTCTCGCTGCTGTTTCTTGGGGTCAGGGTCCATGTTTCTCTGCTCTGTGCAAATCAGCATCCACGTCCATGGGGTTTGGCCTCATGTCAGGCCACCCACTGGTGAGCAAGACACATGCCCAGAGAAGTGCCATGAGCAGTACCTAGGAGCTGCAAACTGCCTCCATTGGCCTGCAGACTCGCTCTCCCTGCAGGTCAGTGCTGAGATCCTTATCAGTCTTCTGTGAGTAGCATCGGGTACAGGAGGCCTCCTCATGGCCCCTCTACCCCATCACATGAGGACATGGCTCTGTCCCAAAGAAGACAAGAAGTTGAAAGGGTCATATAGTCAGCCAGGAAAGGTGTGAACAGCTAGAAGACTGCTGGCGAATTTGCTCCTGGGAGGAGCAAGAGGAAGTGAACCAGACTCCAGCGTCTCTGCTGTCATCACTATCCAGAGGTAGTGCGGACACAGACACCTGGTGTGCCTGGGCCGTGAGGAGGTGCTCAAGCTTCCTTTTTAACCCCAGATTCCTGAGCAATCCTCTGCGCTGGCCAGCATGGATGCACTGAGACCACTGGTTTCCTCCTTAATCATCCCTGCTGTCCCGGTGACCTGAATCTTCAGTGTGACCAGGTTAGAGAACACTACTCCAGTGTCCCGCCAACCCCAGGCACCCTCTGAACACAGCGTGGGGGTGGGGTCACCCCAGAGCCAGTTCTGATCTACCCTCTGCAGCTCTGGGAAGTCACACCTTTACCAGGAG